TATATATATATATATAATGCCTTGTGGCTATAGAAAAAAGATCTGCACCGTATAAAGTTTCTGATCCAAGCTACCTGTATAGGAAATTCATTTACAGACAGGCTAATAAAATCATCCCCAATAACCATAAGCTAACTTGTCCTTTATAGTGTACATTTTATTAGCATCGCTAAACTAGATCATTAATTACAAGAATGAATGAAGAATGGTGGAAAAGTGGATTTAGGAGTGAGCTGGATCCTGGATTCCACTCCCATCTTGGCCACTCAGGACCTGTGTTTCTGAGCCTCAGTTCCCTTACCTATCAAATTGGAGTAATCGTAAAGATAGCGTTGGTGAAGACTGCACACTTACCACATGCTGCAGGCACGTTCTAAAGGTTCACATATCCGAGCTCATTTAGTCCTCTCAGGAACGCTAAGGAAGGTCTGGGGTCATCTTTATCTCACTGCTAAGGAAACTGAGGCACAGAGGGAAGGTATCTCCACAAGGCCACAGAGGAGCTGGAGCTAGGATCTGGCTCGCACGTGTTGGGAACGTTTGGCTTGGAACCCAAATTCTGTCCAAATGTTTCATTACAATAGTTTGGACTAATCCATTCATTCTAATGAAAAATATTCTACAATATCCTTATCCACTTTTCCATCAGATTCAACAACTGTTCCAAACAAGCCTTTGTGAATGGCTTTACTTATAGCTGAAGCCAACTATGGAGAAACACCTCCAAGAATGAATCAGACAAACAAAAACAAAAACACACATATATATATACACATATATGTATACAGTATACATACATTATAATATATATGAAAAGATGAAGGTTAAGATTAGCTCGCCCAATCGCGTTAACCCCAAACTTGACAGAGCCTACAATGGCTCTCTGGAACCAAAAGAGAGAAGCAGTGGGAAAATGATGGTTATTACCTTTATATCTCTTTTTTTCCTCCTCGGTCAGATGTTCTGTGCGAATTTTGGTTATCACACTCACATTGTTTACAGTGTAAACCTTGAGAGATGTGTGCAAAAGAAAACAGTGACATAGGGAATCAAAAACTCAGAAAATAAGCACAACAAGAGCAAGAATGCTGAAGCAAAAAACCAAAACAAAACAAACAAATCCAGCAAAATAAAATGAGAAGTGGTTAAAGATCATTAGGATCCTTCAGAGCGAATAAGCAAACTATCAGCTCAACTTAGGAATGCGTCAGCGGTTACTTTCCACATCAGACAGTTTTACTACCGAGGAGTTAACAGTGACAGGCTGCCCCTTCCTACTTGCCCTGCTTGTGGCTAAACAATCTCAGAATAATGTCCTGCGACTGAGGCTCCCCACCTGATGCCTGTGGTACTACGGTACCCAAATCTGCATCACATACATCTACTGATTCACGGTCATCTTATAATAATATTGACCTAGACGGCCATCTGCTGGGCAGACGGAAACGGAATGAATACAGCGTTCTCTAGACCTATCAGCTGTAGAGAAAACCAGCCGGTCACTATTTGACAGGTGTTCTGTATATTGACCAAAAGGGATTGCAAATGCGAAAGGCTCTAGTATCAAGGTTTACTGAGGAATATGATGGTCTGGAAGGTCAAATACAACAGGTAACAATAACTGTAAATGCCGTATACCATTTCAAACAGTTCTCAACGTTCAGAGCTACAGAAAACACACTCAGCGCTGAAATGGCTGTTTCTAAATGGCTCTTGCTGAGCATGACATAATCTTTCTTTGTTCACTCAGAGGCCACCAGAGGACCCTGTAGCACCTGGCTCTGTCATTGTGAGCCATCAATCCCTGCTGGACAGCAGGACTAAGGAAAGGACAGGAAGCAGCTTTCCCGCTGACAAAATGCCAGATGACTTGACAGACGCCCATCTCTGCTATTAACAACTGTTTTAAATTCACTGATGTCATGAAAATGGGCCGGGAGCCTATTGGTTACAATTAGGCTGATAAAAAAGCATAGAGACTCAAAAAAGCTGCTCTATTGTACCATATACACATATAAAAACACTACTCTGGTTGTCCAAAAAAAAAAAAAAAAAAAATTCTTACTGTTCTGAGCCATGGTCTGCAAAACCTGGAAGTGATTAATTTAACTTTTTACACATTTCTTGATGGTGTAGAGCCCTTTGCTGGTCTTTCTTAGAATGAATAAGTGAAGTGGTGCTGGGTTTCCATAGAGCAGTTAACAAGAGAAAACAAGGACTTGGATGGGATTAAAAACTTTTAGACTCAAATGAGGGAGAGACTAAAGAAGAGACTTCATCCTTGAAGAGATTTAATTCCATTGCCCTTATAAAAGTTTTTTTGGTAATAATCCAACTTGGAATAATGCAGCAGGTTTATATTGGTTGCCACCTATTTGTAGCTGAAAAGACTGAAAATAGTTCACAGATGAAACCCAGCTATAAGGCAAACTGACATAAACCAAATGTTCGTCAGAGATCCACCTACTCTTCACAAACAGAATAGGATCCGCAACAGTGGGAGTCTGGTCCATCTCTAATTTTATTCTTTCTTATAGGTAGATTGGCGATGGAGTAAATGTTTCAATGAACTTAAACATCTAACTACTCTAAGAAAGATTTCTAGGTTCAAAGTCCTCTGGGAAAAAAAAAAAAAGAGCTATTTTATTTAACAAATGTGATTAATACTGAAATGTGTCCAGAAGTTGGTCAAAATACAAAAAAAAACCCCTCTTCTTTTTTTTAAAAAAAAAAAAAAAAAAGATGAACAAGCATGTTAAGTCTATTCTTCTGCTTTCTTTTTATAAAGAATTAAAGGAGTGACTAGCTTGTCATCCCTACTGGGACAACTTTTTACTTGTTTCTCTTTAACACAGTTTCTTTTGGCATAGCTAGAGATCTCTGGATATGCTATCCCATTTTTTTCAAAGTCAACTAAGATAAAAGATCCACATGTGAGACACATTAGGCAGTCCTTATTCCCCACAGCATCTTCATGGGAAAAAAAAATCTGAACAGACTCCTCATTTGCATAAAAGCTAAGTAGCTATATTAAATCTTATTTTAAGAGTTTCCTTTTACCTTTGCTTCGTAACCATTAACAACTTCTGCTTTATCTGTCCTCCAGCCCCAGAATCCGGATTTAGTTCTGATAAAAAGTGAACACCACAAATTTCTACATGTACAATATGCCATTCAGATTTATCCCTGCAGCCTCTATAGTTTTTTCTTTCCCCCAGCTTAAGTTAGTGAAGGACACTTGGAAATCACAGTCCTATTGTCCACAAAAGGATGCTCTCAATGACAGATGGCTTCAGCAGCCCCCCTCCTCCCACAGTTATTAATCAATTTGCCTCACCCCAGGCAAAGAAAGCCTCCATTCTTGGCTTTATAAAAACTGCCAGCATAGGGGACAAAGGTAGTGACATTTATTGGAGAGTTGTCCTAAAGGAGTAATGATGACTAGCGTCCAAGGGCACTCCATGAGGTGCTAAGTGGGTCAAAACATTTATTTGGGTCATCTTGACTGTGGGCATGGACATCAGCAGCTCTATCTCTGACTCGATCGAGGAATTCTTAGAACAGCGGGGCACAGACCATCCTGCTCCTCGGATGAGAGCGGGCTGGGCAGCAATTCATCACCGTGGCGAGCTGCTTGGAAAAGCCCTTAATGTCTGCAGAAGGGTTTACGAATCACACTCTCTCAGGTCTGGTGCAGCAGAGGGAAAGGATGTTAAAAGTATATTTTCAGCCCAGCTGTTGATTCCAGCTCTATGGAACTGCTTTTAACACTGCAATGTTGGGTATGTGCCCAAAAACCCAGTAATTCAACTCAGCAAACTCCGCAGGAAAATGCATTAAGGATCCAAGAGCAGACAAGAGCCTTGATTCTTTTTCAAAGCCGCTCGCCCTGGGAAATGCTTCCACTGAGGGGAGCCTCTGACTGGCTCTGCTGCTTTGTCTAGAACATCACATCCTAGCTCTGCTTGGCCCTTTGTCTAGAACATCACGTCCTAGCTCCACTTGGCCCCGTGCAGAGCAACAGCCCGCCTTCTGCTCCAAGCCCTGAGTGAAGTGGGACACTGCAGAGAGCTGAGGGAAGGGCAGCGGGTTGGCCAAGTCACCAAGGACACGTGCGGTTATTTGCATTTTGTGTTTCCAAACAGTTTGCTTGTCTTCTAATGGGATTTTGTAAATGGAATTAGTCCAGATGGAGTAGAATGAGTTTTATGTGTCAATTTCAGCCCAGAAGAGAAAGCAGAGACCAGAGCTTTAGATGTCCTATCAGTTGTTGGCAGTGAGTGCCACATGACCTGCGGAGGGCAAGAGGACACTTGAAGGCATCACACCACTGCTGGCGCTCTCCAGCCATCGCTTCAGGGGCAGAGTAACTGAGGGGCAGGCGGTGGGGACTGCACTCGCTGACGCATACGCCGCAGTCCCCTTTTAGCCATCCATAATTGAAAACAAGATATTCCTTGAGTTTAACTTAGAAGAATTTAATCCTCGGTTTCTTATCTTTCCGTAAGTCACGTGATAGTTTGGCATAGGACACTGGGGGATTGAAGGGTGACTGCGTCTGCTCTACTGCACCCTTCCTGTGGGCCGAGGAGGTGAACCTGCGCTTTCCTCCCAAGGAACTGTTAGGACCCTTGCTCGTCTGCATCCGCTCTCTCTGCAAGCCTGGCCTTCAGCTGCCCTTTGCGTTTCTGCTCTGGGACAGCAGTTTAGTTTTTAAACCTAATGTCTACGCCCTGTTTGAAGACGAGATCCTAGTGACTCCTTGACCCCTGATTAACAAGGCCTACAGAGGCATCCACAGATAACAGGAGAACACTCAGCTTCCTTCTTGTGCCATTTTCACCTCTGCCTGTCTCCTCTGAGAACACCACAACACACCAAAGGCCACTCAGCAGACACCGTGTCTCGACAGCCGCTACACAATCTGAAAAAAGGCTCCCAAGGTGGCAGGGAATGTTCTGAGGTGGGCAGAGTGTAACCTTCCAGAGAAGAGACTAATTCAAACTACAGTTAGAGTGTACATCCTGCGGGCCAGAACCCGACTGAGAGGGCATTCACATGCAAGCATCAAGCTCTCAGTCACAGACTAGAAGAAACAAAATGGGCAAATGTGACTCATAAAATGAGAGAGCCACACCTCCCAAATCCAATCCAAGGAATACTCACACCCCCAGTTAGAAGATGTGCCCGCTTTTTACACCAGAAAACCTCACGCTAAGAGTGCTCAAGTCCTCGCTCGATACACAAATTCCCTGAGTGCACATTCACTCCTGAGCACCGTTAAAAGAAAAAGCAGCTGTCTTCCAGAAATTCTCTCAGCAACTGGGTGCGCATACAAATATAAATACGAATACAAACTGGGCCTTCGTCCTTGGTCCAGATGGGACCTGTTATCACTTCCCCATCTATACTCAGTGGGACAACAGCCAGTCATCGTCACACTCTCTTCGTAAATCACACTTCAGAACAAACAAGGACTCTAGCAACTCGGCTGAAGAACCATATGGGGAGCAGTGTCGCTGCTCGTGACATCTTTTGAGTCACAGACTTCGGAGACTTCATCTCTAGGTTCCTTCCTGGTTTTCTTTCAACTAAGGGAAGAGGAAACCAGAGAGATTAGGCCCTTTACCCAAAGTCACACAGTTCTTTAGTCACCCTGTCAACAGAACACAGTTCTGCTGGGCCGCAGCAGGGAGGGCAGCCCCCTCCACCTTCTGGCATTTGGAACACGGCCCTAAGCTGAAGGTGCCCTCCCTGTCTGCACAGGTGCACACTGAGCCGGGATGTGGCTTTCCAAGAAAGCCACAGTCAGGTCCTACACCTTGCTGTCCCTGGGAGACAATGGCTGTTGACTGATGAGGTGGCTGCTAGAAGGATGCAGCAGAGGATGGCCCTGCCTCGGGGGGGAAGCCGTTACTCCTACCCAACTAACAGCAGCACCTCGACACCACACAGGCGAGCATTCTGATTGTTCCTTCTGCCACAGACAGACACCCTATCTCCACGGCTCGACCTAAATTAGAAGAAAAGGACACTGAACAGGTTTTGTGTTTGACTGAAGAGAAATCTCTCCGTTTTGTTCACCGGTTTTATATCAAGGGGAAGAAAAATGAAGAGAGAAGATGATCTACTTGGTAGGAGAAAAGCAAGCCCAAATCCAGGATAACAGTGTCTATTTTAGCTCAGGCGATGCTACTATGGTTTGCAGACAGCTGGCTACGGCATCCTCGACAAACACCAGGGGTTCCTGTGGACCCCCTCGGTTCGGCGTGTTCCTGGGTGGAGACACTCAGACCCACAGCTGTGTGACTAACAGCTGCTCCTCTTTCCCACACACCAAGGCCCTCCACACCCTCTGACCGGAGGAGAGGATGATTTCTCATCTGGATGAGCTAAGGCACAGGCATCTCCAGAAAATACTCATGGCGTCTGGAACGGCCCTGAACCTTATCCAAACTCTTGCTCTAAACTATTAGACCTCAACAAGCAGAAAAAAAGAACCATACGTAAAACGTGATTTTGTCGGACTGTTATCAATACAACTGAATTCAATACTGCATTAATCAGGAGTTTTCAAAACTCAAATCTCCATAGTCAGGGACTCGGGAATGCATGGGTCCACAAATGAGACCAATATAATCCACTAGAAAGGGCCTGTAAAAGAAAATTAAACTGTTTCCTACACTTAACCAACGGGCTATAAAAATGTTATGTGTAGACAGTGTAGGATGTTAGCTATAGTTTCTAGTTGGTTAGAGCAGGAGTAACCTTAAAACCCACTAGTGTCTACTATGTCATATTAGAAAAAATCCCCATCTATCCCAATCCATTAATTTCCAATGAACAGACATGTCACTAAAGGTGGCAATATAAACATTAAAATTTAGAGGCTAAATTCATACCTTTCGAACGCAATATTTTTAGTATCAAGGCTGGTGTTAATGACTGGGCTTGTGAGCCGCCGCTCAACCTCCCTGCTTTTTGGCTTCATCAAGTCCAGAGTAAGGCGCTCCATTTCCTGGGACAGGTCAAAGTGCTCGGTGGTGACCACTTTGTCATCATGGTTAACTTCCATCAACTCTGCCCAGTTGTCTGTTAATGAAAACAAGGGTTTAATAAAGCACAATTCAAGGGAGATGCGGAAACAAGGAGGCCTCATGTTATAAGGCACCCTCGTTCACATTCTTCCTCCCAGGTGCTATCTGATAAGACCTAAAGGTGGCGTGGTGGTTAGGGGCGCTGGACTCCCACATAGCCGACCACAGTTCAAGTCCCAAACCTGGCTGCTTGCTTTCCCACCTTTCCCCACCCCCCTCTCTCTCTCACTCTGTCCCTCTCTGGTCAAATTAGATAATAATAATAATAAAGTTAAATAAGAAACAATTCTTAAATAAAAAGCATTGATTATCTTGATTATCAATTATGTATTTGTGTAGGGATTACCTGGCCAGCTTTCCGCAACTCATAGGATGAATCTGGGCCATCTTCCCTGAAGATGCAGATTTTTTTTTTTTTTTTTTTTTTTGTAAGGCACATGCATTTATTAGAAAGATACAGGGATCAGGGAGTAGAAATCACCCCCACCCCAGGGTAGATGGCCACACCATAATCCCTTTTCTTTCGGTCTCATCTCGGAACTTTAGGCACACATACACACGTGACTGGTGTGATTTTTCAAACTACCAGATCCAGGACTTGAACCTCACAGTTAGCCATGTGGGATCCAGCACTTAACCTCCATACCAACTGCTGGCCCCAAGATGTAGATTTTTAAAACAATGTGCATTCTTTCTTTCTTTTTTTTTTTTTTTAAAGAATTATTTATTTAATTCCATTCATTACTGTTTTTTGTTGTGGTTATATTTTAATTTGACCAGATAGAGACAGAGAGAGAGAGAAAGGGAAACCAAGAGAGCAAGCCACCAGGTCCAGAACTCAAACTGCAATCGGCCATGAGGGAATGCAGCACCCTCAACCACCACACCACATCTGTCCCCAATAATGTTCCTTCTTTATTAGCAACACATTGCGTCTGTGTGCTTTATAAAACAATACAGGGCCGGCAGGTGGCGTGGTGGTTAAGGAAACTGGACTTCAACATGGCCAACCATAGTTCGAGTCCTGGACCTGGCAGCTTGCTTCCTCACTTTCCATCTCTCTCTTACACTCAGTCCCTTTCTGGTCAAATTAAGATAAATAAATAAATAAAGTTAAAACAAAATCATTCTTTTAAAAAAAATTTTTTTTAAAAGTAACAGAATGAACATACACTAGTTTGGGTGAGCAGTGCCATTCCTCACACTCCACTAGAAGAACTGTATGTGAAGGGAATATAAAGAGATACCTGATAAAAGGCAGGGACTCAAAGGCTTAAGAAGAGTGCAACAGACACATGTCAAAGGGTAAGAATGAC